TATGATGAAACAAACTCATCTGTGTAACGCCATACAACACTAACATAATGAACACGATCTTTATCCAGTTCATGCTTGTGTGGTTTCTTTCAAACTCTCTTATGCCCGCCTTTCTGTCTTGGTTTTCATTTTTTATGTGTATCACATGAGCTCTCATTTCTCTACCATGATCATCAATATGTTCTTTCAGTTGCTTCACATCCATATTCAGTGCTTCAACATTTTTCTTCATTACATCCTCCACCCATTTAAAATATCCACAGTCCATATGTTTCATCTGAAATATTTCTTTGAGACATTTTGTCAAACACCTGCGGGCTAAAGTGAAGAATAAATAAAAGTATATAGAATGAACAGGGACAGACACATACCAACGAAAACTTGCACCTGTAAAACGTTTTCCCAGGATTCCTTTGCGTATTTGACGTCTCCTGGGAGCTTCTAAAATTCCTGAGAGACTTGGACTGTCACCTCCAACTACGGTGGCGGCGTCTCAGGCGAGAGACGGCGGGTGGCAGCAGTTAGGTCCGGCGGTACGGCTCTTCTTCTCCGGCGCAGCACTCCGTCTTCTCCAGCGTGATGTCGATCCAGTTCATAGCTCACCGTTCGAAGGTCAGCAGCAGCAGCACATCAGATGTGCTGGGTTCTCCTCCCGGCCACGAGATGCGTATCAGTCCTGCGATGAAGAACTCTCAACCTAACAGTCCAACCAGCCCTTACTTTATCTTTTAAACTATCTCAGCTTTCTTACGTGTGGGATTTGATGAAGTGGATAATGATTTATTTGCCACTTCATCAACTAACGAACAGAAATAACTTGGCTAAACGGGAAGTGGTATTGCAGGGGAAACACATACTTTGAATCTTTTTAAGATAAAATTTAAAGATGACGATATATTTGTCAATTTTAAGAAAGTTGAGGATATATTCAGCCAATAAATCACAATACAATCATATACTTCCTCCGTTCTATAATTCTTGCAACATTGTGATTTTTACACTATTCACAGATCTTACTTTGACAATGATTTTCTACTAATATACATAAGCAAATTATTACGTATAAAATCAGGGGCGGACCCAGGAAGTTGTTTATCTTGGGAGGGCGGTAACTTAAAAAAATACTTTTTTGGGAGGGCGGAAATTATTTTTTGGTATATATATACACTAAAAAAAAATTGTTGGAGGGACGACTGCCCCCCTGGGTCTCTACTACGGTCCGCCCTGTATAAAATGTTATTGAACTCTTATCAATGTGAATTTCGAAAATATCAACTGTTTATAATGTTTACTAATACATAATTAAAAATAATTACAGTCAAAGTTATGCATTGGCAAACGTGAAAGTCAAACTGTTGCAAGAATTATAGAACGAAGGATAGTATATCATTAAACAACTAGCCTTTGGGTTCATTGTATAGTGTTATATACAATTTGCACAAAATCCCAAATTAGAGCATGCAATCTTATTTTTCATAAAATTGATTTGATAGCGTTAATGGGGTGCATAAATTATCCAAGTTAACTTAAATGTCTTCCGTTGGGCCGACAGTTTAAGTTAATATTTTAATGGATTCAAATCAATTTAAATAGAGAACCACTTGTAAACAAAATTCACAAGAATAAATAATATATACTCCATCAAAGCAGGACATACATTCTCTTAACGCAAAATGCATGTTAACTATTAATGAGTCAAAAAAACGATTACTACACTTTATCACTAATTTATCTGGAGGGTCTTTTCATAAGTTTCCAAAAGAAACGGTAAAAACATTCCAATCAATTAATGAATACACGGATTAAAATTACTTGAGTATTCCAAAATACACGACTCTTTACGTGTTAGTTTATCAGCATGCAATACAACCAAAACCGTTACAGAAAGGACATATGTCGATCAACTTTAATTCATATATATCCCATTAATTACCGTATTTACGTAATGTATTTATAAATCATAACAATACACCTATGACACCATGAGAGGATGCACATACTGACATTTGACATACATACCAACATATGGGCTCCGTTTGTTTTTCAGCGGGTAGAGTGCTACACGCTGCATTTTGCAGCGGTTTATAGTTCAACTCATTCGGCGGATGATCATTTAGGACAATTGATAAATGGATAATCCAGAACTTTACGTCTTGCATGTAAATAAAGATTAATACTCCCTAACTTTTCATGTACTCACGCGTTTAGCAGATTGAAACGAAGAAACCAACTACGAAGAAACCAACTAAATTTATGTATTAGTTATGTTTACATCATCGTTCAAAAACGCAGAAAACATATAATTTATGTATTGGTTATAATCATCATAATAACCAAGATCAAATAACATCACACAATTAATCATAATTGTAAATTTATAGGGACTTGGAGAGTATCCAATGTTCATTTGAGAGAGTTTAGAAGAAGAAGATGCCATTGTTTTTCTTGAATGAAGTGGATTTGTAATCCCTTATAGGACAAGTAATAGATGGAGTATGTAATAATAAGGAGTTTGTGATATCCTCTCTCCTTTGGTGATGGTGTTGTACGTGCATATCATTTAGGAAAGAGGAGGAGTAGTTATATTGGGAAATATTCAATCATCACAACCTTTCATATATTGGATGTTTTTACTTGGACTGTAATTTGCTGGTCTGGTCTGGTCTGGTCTGGTCTGATCTGGTCTGGTCTGGTCTGAACTGGTCTGGTCTGGTCTGGTAAGGTCTGGTTTCTTTGTATTTTTATAACTATCCAAGTCTGGTCTGGTCTGGTCTGGTCTGGTCTGAACTGGTCTGGTCTGGTCTGGTCTGGTCTGGGGCAAATTACAGTCCAAGTAAAAACATCCATTGTCCTACAGGATGTTACCACAATGGTACCCCTTAAACATTATTTCCATCAAATAATACACACATATATAATACATAATTATATATATAATATATAAATATAGAACACATATTAATATTGGTCCTTAGGCCATATTAATTGGAAATATTTGTATATAATATATAAATATAGAACACATATTAATATTGGCCTTCCATTCTACTTTTGAATTCTCAATACATTTAGCAAAAAGTGCATTGAGAATTCAAGTTTAACTAAATGGACTTTAAATTGAATCACATGCTTATTGAGACAGACCATTACAAATCATGAAGGGGATGAATGAAAATGCAAAAAAGGTTGATCTTTAACCCCTGTATGGTTGGGGGATTTTGGAGGGGAGGGAAGGAAGGCTTAATTTTTTACTTTATTAATTTGTCTAAATTTGTTAGATTTTGACTACAGATAAATATATAATTAGTTAAACCATGTATTTTTATATACTATTGTGTCCTCATTTTATTTCAATTTGTCTAAATGTAAAAATTGTTTTAAATTTAAATAAGAATCCTCCCCTTCCCTCCCCTCCAAAATCCCCCAACCTTAAATAAGGAAAATTCAATCAATGTCACTCTATCTTTCTATGTTTCGAATATCACCCCACTTCACGGCTTTGATTTGAGGCAGAATCCTTTCAAAGATGAAAAAAACGATGAAAACCAAGATGGAAATATAAGTGAATCGGTTGGGCCAATTATGTGATTTGGAAAGAAGCTCAGTTGCAAGAATGGTTTAGTATTTTTATTCAAACTACTTGGGGAGACAAATTCTGCCTATTAGGATTAGAAAATTAGATTTGTAGGTGTTTTTAATAATCATTTCCACAACATTCTTGAGGCAGAACTCCCGTAACCATAGTTATTAATTTTGCCCTTCGTTGTTGAAGAGCTGAGTGTGAGTTTGCTATTTTTTCAAAACCGAGTTAATGTGCCCTCAAATAGGCTTTTAAAGGCATGTTTACTTTTGACTTAATGGATTTAGTTGACATAATGACTTAAGGGAAATTCTATACACAGCCACACAATTGCTAATCACATCCACTTCAATTAATTTTAATAAATAAAACAATTTTAAATATCTTATTTGCCCCTGTCTTTATGACGGTCCCTTCTCTTCGATGACGGTGGTGCAAGATCTTTGGCGCTCCTAGTTGCTGGCCGGACAATGAAGACGGCAGTCCTCCTCAGTGCAGCTCCAAGGACGGACCTCTCCATAAGATGTCTGATTCTCATTGGCCAGAGGAATGAAGCACCACTGCGCATTTGCTTATTTGCAGAAGTTGATTCGGCTCACTCGAAACCCAGGAAGAATTATCTCCTCCCGTTACCGTCTCCATGGATCCCAGATTCCCAGGTCGGCTGCTGATATTCATGATGACCACTTCAAGCCGGTGGACGACCTACTTCCGATGAGCCTCAGGTCGGCGATTAAGCTCTTGGCCCATAGCCCACAGGTCGGCTAGAGCCTCTCCGTCCAGCTCGGCGGCGATGGAGTAGCTACTCCATCTTCAGCTTCTTCCGTGAGAAGTTTGTAATTTGGCGTGGATGTGTAGGAGGACGGCTACAAGGGTGAAATAGACATTTAAAAAATAAATATTTATTTAATTTTATTTTGGATGCTGTGTTTAGTAATTATGTGGCTGTGTATAGAATTCCTCATGACTTAATTGTTCAATTATATATATAGTCGTTGTTGGGATATATTATCCTGGCCCACTACTGTTCAGAAGCCCAAGACACCGTCCCGGTACGGGGCCCAGTCAGCGAGGCTCATTTAGGCCAACCTGGCCCGTTTCGGCCCACCTAGGCCTATCTCGGCCCATTTGCGGCCCATTAGACTAGAGGGTTTTTTCCCTCCCCCTGCCTATAAATAGGAAGCAAGGCTTTCATTCTAAGGATGGCTTTTGGCTCCCAGGAGCTAATTCCCCCCCCCCCCCCTCTCCTTTACTGCTTCTCCTTCCTCTTTGTAGATAGCTCACAAACCTCCATCAGTGGAGTTCAACATATGTACTATGTATTGAGTGATGGGAGGATATTAATGAGAAAGAGCGGGCTTGGACGTTAGCCTAAAAAGTCCCGTGGTTTTCTCCCTTTCCGGGTTTCCACGTAAAAATAGCTAGTCATACACCTTTTATATTTATTATTCACTTTTATACCGAATCCATCGTCTCTAATATCCGAAGTTTATGTTGGGCTTCCGGATCTACGGGACAAAACCTCAACATTGGCGCCGTCTGTGGGAAAAGATCAAAAAGATTATGTGTTCTGATCCTACAATTTTGATACGAAGAAGACAACCGTTTACAACAACGGGGAGCAAAAAGAAAAGGATGGGGAAATGATTCAAGAAAAAGTGATAATAAATTGAGAACTCAAGATTCAGCCCAACAGCCGGTCACCAATTCAAATCATTGCTCCGCGTCCTAGAAGGAATGCTAGAACCGAAGCGGAAGACCCAAGGAACTCAGTGAACCAGCCATGGAAGCTGTTTGGTGAACGAAGAAAAGGCAAATAGGGCCCACATACCCACTAGCCTGACAAAAAACAAAAAAAGGGAATAGCTATCCACTCTCACGTGGGAAACCTGACAAAACCACACAAGTGAATGATTTGATAGATTCACCATCATCCCAGAAAACATGCGCCTTATCCCGAACGCCGAACGGGATATGCGTCCGCCGTGTTGTGTGGATAGATTCATCATCATCCAAAAAAAAATATGCGCCGCATCCCGAACGTCGGACGATAACTTCCCGAACGCCGGAGGAGAACTTCCCGAACAGCCCCAAATCATTACAAATGACCTGAACGGCCTCTAAACTTATCCAGAGGACGAAAGTACAAGTTGATCAAAACAAATCATGAACCATACTGTTCAAACTCCCGAACAGAGGGTACCTCCTAGACGAATGAAAGAGGACAACCCCGAATAGACCACCTGCTCGTTACAACCCGTTCAAAACATAGCACGTCCAGCTCGGTCACCCGGCCAGTCCATCAGCAAGTAGTCGTGGACCAGCAACAAACCCGCAGTGCCCTCTCAGACGCTCAAATTGTGGCACCAACAGCTCTGCCCGCCCATGGAAGTTGTGACCTGTCAAGCGCCGCTCGGTCTCCAGACAGGCACCCATAGGAGTCCTCGCTGGTCGCACCAAGGTCTGGCTACCGGATCGAGTGTTGCCTCTCGACCGTTTGAGATTCTTCAGGCCGGCGGCCGATGGGCTTGGCCGCTTGGGTAGCCAGAGCAACTCGAAAGGGAATTTCCCGAGCGATGTGTACTCCAGCTCGCCGTCCAGCGTCTCCCCGTCCGGCATCTTCCTGGCCGGTGACTCCTTGCTCGGCACCCAGTGTTTTACCGAACGGCAGTCAAAGGACAGATCAGCAGTTCCCCGGTCGGCATCTTTTACGAACAATGAATTTCGTGTTTGACTGGTTTGGAGGAACGGGTAAGTTCGAAGCCCCGAACGACTTCTGGAAGTCTCGATCGTTCAGATATATCCCCAAACTTCAATCAGGTGCGGCGGGCTGGGTCATTGAGCAGCTCAGGCTAGACTGATAATCCATACGATTGTGAGCTTATGGAAGTTGCAGCAGCGGATCTTGCAAGGGAGTACACTTGTTATGTTGGGCTGGACCACATTTTTGACGGATCAAATAAATTCTCACCAGGCCAATATTTTGCCCGGCAGCTGAAATTCAGCCTATTCAGCTAAGTACCACCATTCTCTCACTTGTTAATTTAATTTAAAATAGCGTTACTGCTATCATTTTATTATCACCATCATTTATTAGGGGTAAAATCTCCTGGATTAAATGATATCGAACGAAGCTTCAGTGATAATTATTAGTTGTCATTGTAGTTAAATGACGGGTTGTGGTGGGCCTATCGGCTCAACCTGATCGACTTAAATTAAATAGTCGGAGCATCACCCAAGGGGATCACTCCCAAATCCTGCTCGGCACCCAGTACTAGTACGATACAATGTTTGTTTAAATAGTAGTAGCACTATTAATTAAACATCACCATTGTTAGGGTTAAAATATCCTGAATTAAATAATGACCAAGTGAAGCCCCAATGATTAAGTACTCCGTCATTTTTTAAATAAAATGATGGGTTGTAGTGGGGGCTATTGGCTTACCCCGATCGGCCTTAATTAGCGATCGGAGCATTTACGGACCCGCTCGGTGAGGCCGGACATCCATGAAAATATTGAATGACTTGATGTAGTAATATTACTATTAGTTACGCATCGCCATTATTTGTTTAGTAGAGATTAAAATTTCCTGAATTGAATAATGGCCGAGCGAGACTCCAGTGACAAGTCCATTATCATTAAAAATTAAATGATTTGGTTTAATGGGCCGACCAGCCAACCCGCGATCGGCTGAATGTAAGCGATCGGAGTGCCCCGAATGGTATTACTCCGACAACGCACCAAGTACTCATGCATTAGAGTATTCATTGGTTGATTAAATAGTATTCTTACTATTAATTGCACACACCATTACTTAATAGGGATTAAAAAAATGCCGAATAAAGTAATGCCGAATGGGGCTTTATGAATAATATCACCAACATTTTAATTAAATGCTTGGTTTGACTGGGTGTATCAGTCCACCCCCGATCGGGCCAAATTAATTGGCTGAAGTGTCCCCGATGACATATTTTAATTTTGAAACCATTCATGGTCTCGTACGGCATTAAGTGCCTGAACGGCAACTATACCCAGTACGGGGCGAAATACGTACTTGAATACTCGACAAAACACTAGGTGGTTCGAGTCGTGGACTCTAATAGATCAAGAAATGAATCTAGGCCAAGGGTTATCATTACCCGCTTCGGCCGGTAGTCATGAATAAAAAATAATACAAAAGAAATGTTATACATGTGTATGTATATACTTGTATATGTTGTTTGGCCGTACGGCCGTATTACCATGCTTATTGTGCAGTAAAATTCGTCCGACGTTCTCGGACGGGAAGATCATGAAACACAAGGATGTTCATGATGTTTGGCATGAAGCACAGAGACATTCATGACCGGCAGAAAAGAATCACATTCATTCATAGGCGTTCGGTCAGCCCGAACGGGCAAGTCATGAAGCACAGAGATGTTTATGACGTTCAGCATGAAGCGCAAAGACGTTCATGATTGGCAAAGAAAAGGGATATTTGCATTCATAGGCTTTCGGTCAGCCCGAACGGGGAAGTCACGAGGCGCAAAGACATTCATGAGCCGTTCGGACAGCCCGAACGGGGAGATCATAGAGCGCAGAGATATTTATGATTGACAAAAAAAAAAGAAAAAAAAAAGAAAAGAGAGAGAGAGAGAGAGAGAGAGAGAGAGAGAGAGAGAGAGAGAGAGAGAGAGAGAGAGAGAGAGAGAGAGAGAGAGAGAGAGAGAGAGAGAGAGAGAGAGAGAGAGAGAGAGAGAGAGAGAGAGAGAGAGAGAGAGAGAGAGAGAGAGAGAGAGAGAGAGAGAGAGAGAGAGAGAGAAAAGAAGAGAAGACCATCACGGCCGAGAACCGTTGCTTGTTCCTTTCCGATCAGCCCCCAGTGGCGACCTCATTAAATGGCCACTGACCCTCTGGTGCGATGCCATTATCATATTTGAAGACCGGCCTCGTCCCCGCACTGCGCGGATAAGGACCGTTGCTTGATGTTTAGGTTGGCTTCTCATTGACGACATCATCATATCACGATCGGCCTGTCGGCACGACATTATTTGCTTTGGAGGCATCTTCACACTCCATGAAGTCTCACCTCGATCGATAGATACCACTTGTCTCGATCCATAGGGAGCCATCATCTCAGCACAAACTCATCATTAATGTGCAGGTTAACCAAGCACGAACTCAGCTTGGGAGATGGTGTAAAAGATCTTGAGTAGGACGAACTGGGCGGGCATCCGAAAGCATAGGGTGACCGAGCGGGGGATCGGGACTCTGGTCTTAAAATCTCGCCTTGGCTATGCAGCTCGCACGAACCACGACGAAGTGATTCGTTATGGTGGAACCCGAGCTGTAACCTGGAGGCGAGTCTCCATTTTGGCAGAGGATAAGGAGGTGACCCGAATGGGAGCCTTATTCTCAATGGTCCAGAATGGACATCTCAACCCCCTAATATGGATGATCCCGGACGGTAGAACCGGACGGCATGCATCGGAATTATGGGTTTGGAAGATGGCAGGCATTAAATGAACTGTTAAAATGCCTTGCAAAAGGGGAAATCATGGACGGCCAAAGACGATAACTACCGAACAGGTTATATCGGACTCAGTCTTGGAAGGCAGTAGGCATTAAACACTGATGACTTGCGTGTTCGAGGAACCACGGACAGCCGACGGAGATGAACCGAACGGCTTGCACCTGAACCTTGGTGCTTACTTGTGGCAAGTGAAAATAATAATAATAATAATAATAATAATAATAATAATAATAATAATAATAATAATAATAATAATAATAATAATAATAATAATAATAATAATAATAATAATAATAATAATAATAATAATAATAATAATAATAATAATAATAATAATAATAATAATAATAATAATAATAATAATAATAATAATAATAATAATAATAATAATAATAATAATAATAATAATAATAATAATAATAATAATAATAATAATAATAATAATAATAATAATAATAATAATAATAATAATAATAATAATAATAATAATAATAATAATAATAATAATAATAATAATAATAATAATAATAATAATAATAATAATAATAATAATAATAATAATAATAATAATAATAATAATAATAATAATAAAGTCCATTGAGCAGAGGGCGCTCGCAAGACCCTTGGATTCATGATTATATTTTATGGACTGCTGCCGCTGTTGCCGCCGTTGTCCATTGAGCAGAGGGCGCTCGCAAGACCCTTGGATTCATATTATATTCTATGGACTGCCGCCGCTGTTGCCAGCCGTTGTCCATTGAGCAGAGGGCGCTCGCAAGACCCTTGGATTCATATTATATTCTATGGACTGTTGCCGCTGTTGCTGCCGTTGTCCATTGAGCAGAGGGCGCTCGCAAGACCCTTGGATTCATATTATATTCTATGGACTGTTGCCGCTGTTGCCGCGGTTGTCCATTGAGCAGAGGGCGCTCGCAAGACCCTTGGATTCATATTATATTCTATGGACTGCTGCCGCTGTTGCCGCGGTTGTCCATTGAGCAGAGGGCGCTCGCAAGACCCTTGGATTCATGATTATATTTTATGGACTACTGCCGTTGTTGCCGCCGCTGTCCATTGAGTAGAGGGCGCTCACAAGACCCTTGGATTTCCATACCGACCTCTCCGCGCCGGCGTTCCTCTCACCACGGCCGACCCTCCTGGCTCGGCGCGGTGATCATTTTGAGGCATCTTTACAGCATGACTATATTTTATGGACCGCTGCCGCAGTCGCCGCCGTCCTCGTATCATGATCGGCCCTCGGCACGGCATCTTCACACTCCATGGAGGATGACCTATTATCCAGATGATCTGACCGCTTCTGTAGCTCTACGATCAGCCACCTCGGCACAATGTGATCATCGTTGTACATCAGACCGTTCTAGTGGGACGAACGGGCGAATGGAACTATTGGTTTGATTGAGTCTCATTTCGGCCAGGGGAGAACGACCCGCTCGGCGAAGGCGAGCGAACGGGGGATATAAATTGGCTTGGAGGTGATGTGAATTCATGATGACCCGCAGTGGTCTCGAGTCAAGTCCAGGTCTGTCTGAGTCGAGTCAAGTCCATGTCTGTCTGAGTCGAGTCAAGTCCATGTCTGTCTGAGTCGAGTCAAGTCCATGTCTGTCTGAGTCGAGTCGAGTCCAGGTATATCCGAGTCGGGTTCGTCCATCCTTAATCTAGGATGACGACCGCTTATTTTATGCAGCAGGAACGGGCTACACAGCACCGTCGTGCCTGGCTTTCTGGCGGGCTCGTCCATCCTTGCTCTGGGATGGCGACCGTCATTCTTATGCAGCACGTACGGGCTCCACATCACCGTCATGCATGGCTTTCTGGCGGGCTCGTCCATCCTTGCTCTGGGATGGCGACCGTCGCTCTTATGCAGCACGTACGGGCTCCACAGCACCGTCGTGCATGGCTTTCTGGCAGGCTCATCCATCCTTGCTCTGGGATGGCGACCGCCGCTCTTATGCAGCACGCACGGTCTCCACAGCACCGTCGTGCCTGGCTCTCGGATGGGCTCGTCTATCCTTAATCTGGGATGGCGACCGCCGCCTTATGCAGCACAAACGGTTTCTCAATGCCGTTGTGCCTATTTCTTGACTGGGCTCGTCAGTGCCTAATCTGGGATAGCGACCGTCATGTTATGCAGCACGAGTGGCTCCTCTGTGCCATCGTGCCTACTTCTCGGCCGAGTTCGTCGATTCCTAATCTGAAAGGACGACCGCCATATTATGCAGCACGAGTGGGTGGCTCTTCAGCACCGTCGTGCCTAGTGCGGAACTGCACATCCCTTATACTTGCACTACAAGGCAAGTCATACACTGATTCAGGGAAGATAGGGAAGGACGTGAACGAGAATATACTTTCTCGAGCAGATTCACAGGCTCACTACTCAAGAAACGGGGGGACTTGTGTTGGGATATATTATCCCGGCCCACTACTGTTCAGAAGCCCAAGACACCGTCCTGGTACGAGGCCTAGTCAGCGAGGCTCATTTAGGCCAGCCTGGCCCGTTTCGGCCCACCTAGGCCTATCTCGGCCCATTTGCGGCCCATTAGACTAGAGGGGTTTTTCCCTCCCCCTCCCTATAAATAGGAAGCAAGGCTTCCATTCTAAGGATGGCTTTTGGCTCCCAGGAGCTAATTTCCCCCCCCCTCTCCTTTACTGCTTCTTCTTCCTCTTTGTAGATAGCTCACAAACCTCCATCAATGGAGTTCAACATATGTACTATGTATTGAGTGATCGGAGGATATTAATGAGAAAGAGCGGGCTTGGACGTTAGCCTAAAAAGTCCCGTGGTTTTCTCCCTTTTCGGGTTTCCACGTAAAAATAGCTAGTCATACACCTTTTATATTTATTATTCACTTTTATACCGAATCCATCGTCTCTAATATCCGAAGTTTATGTTGGGCTTCCGGATCTACGGGACAAAACCTCAACAGTCGTGTTTATATACAATTTTATATATAGAGTGGGTTGAGGCCCATATACTTAATCCTACCACTATCTTTCCGAACAAGAAAAGTAAACATACAATATTCGGAGTACTTTAGTACTTATTTCGGCCGGGAGAGTTAATTGGTCATATAACATCATTCAGTATTTTCATTTCATACATATGGCGTCACTTAATGCACACATACGACTTTATCTGTTCAGGACTTAATAAAAAATGGATGTACACTTTACCCACAGTAAGGCTTGAAGTAAGGGTTTGTGTGGTCTTTAATTAATTTGGGAAAGTTGTTAGAGGATGACCAAGCTATATAAGTTTTTATTCCCTAATGGCCTAATAGAATCTCCAAAGTTTGGTTCTAATATGAAAGGATTCCAAAAAGTCTAGCAATTTTTTATGATAAAAAAATCAAGCATTTGTAAATTCACGTTTGTTTAAAAGATCTTTTTGAAATTTACTAGTGATGAAGTCTCGGTAATGGTGGTATGTTTTTTCAATAAGTATGAAAAAGTAAAATTTAGTGGACTCATAATTAGAAAAGCTTGTTCACATTGTAGAAAATTGAAAGTAAAAAAATTAAAATTGACCATACTTGTATTTTAAAATTGACAGTCTTTGTTTGCACTATTTGGTAAATTTACTCTACTTGTGCGGTAAGGTCAAGAAGTGGGAGATCTGGATCACGGAAATGCTGTTAGGCACCTTCTCAACGGACTCAACAAAAGCGGGCAGCGGCTCTAGGCTCGTCGGGTTGACCACATTGACCGGCAGGAACGCCACCGATTCTCCGCCGCCCGCCTGCGGCGCCCGCACCACATTGACGAAGCCGTCCGAGCCCAGATTCGTGCTCGTCCCCTGGCACAAAGTGGGCACAGCAACTGCGCCGCGGCCGGTCTCGTTGTCGGCGCCGTCGATGTAGTCGACGAGGACGTGGAGTAGGAGGACGTCCTTGATCGATTGTAGTGTCCGGTTTCCGCCGGCGGCCAGAGCTTCCATGGCCGCATTGTCTACCGCCAACACGGTTATCCCCTCGCGGCGGTTGATTTCGGCGGTCAGGTTTGTCTCCGTCAGGTAACTACTGAAGCTGCTCAGCTCTGGCTTGTTCTCTAGGATGCTGGTGATGTTGTGCCCCGCTGCCGTCGTGGCTCCCGGGATAAGCCACCACACACTGACCCCACAAATCATCGCCGCCCACAACCGCCGCATTTTATTCAGTTTCCACGCCGCGCGGGGCGCGCTGCAAAAGTTGATTTTTAATTTGTGCGCAAGCGATAACAATGAGAATTAATTACGGTGTAATTAGTGGGGTCGATGATTATATACGTAGAAATTACCCAGGAGTAAAAGTGTAAAACAAAAGTAAAAATAAATAACAGGACTTTTAGAAAAAAATAATACGGAGTACCATATTATTTCTATATATTTTAAAAAAATAATTACATAAATATGACCAAAATAAAGATAGTTTACAAAAATATAGAGTGGTAATGAAATCATAGTAATTGTTCAAGTTTTGAATAATCATATTTATGTAAATAAGTTTTGTTTTAGTAATATTCTCGTAAAAACCCCGTGTTTTAAAACACACATATTTTTCCATTCCATTCTTACACCTCTGTTAAATAGGGAAAAAAGGTAGACAAAAATCATAAATAAATGTTTTAATTCATAATAAAATCGTAATAAAATAATAAAAATTCTTTGAAAATAATAAAAAATAATATAATATTTATAAAATAATTTATTTTAAAAAAAATTAATAAAAATAGTAAAAATCCACAAAAAATTAAAACAATATGGATGCATTTCCCACCGCCTGTACGACCTCCCTGCACCCACACCTCCGACCGGTGTAGAAAATGTCATTTTTAAAAATACAAATGTCATTTTTTCTGAAAATGCCAACAAAATGATATATCGATTAATCATTGATAATCCCAAAGTTTTCATTGATCTGCCATTAATGTGGCATAAGTGCATAACTAATGCATGTGGCATTTTTCCCGGTGACCAGGGGTGGTGGTGCTAGGGTGGCAAAGGCGACGGTGATTTTTTTTATGATTTTTATTTTTTATTTATAAAATTTTTAAAATTTAAAAAAAATAATAAAATATTAATTTATAAATGTTTTATTAATTTTTTATTACTTTTTACAATTTTTTTTATTAGTTTTTATGATTGTATTATGAATTAAAACATTTCAGTAACTACAAGAATATATTTGTTCAAACACACATAAAAAATCCTACTAGCGAGTTTTTTTTAGAAAACAGTCCTACTAGTGAGTTAAAAAAGAATGCAGTCCTTCCTATTTGTGATTATTGACTACCTTTTTCTCCTATTTAGATAATTAGCCCTTATATATACTACTCCGTCCCATTTTATGGGTCTTAGTTTGACTTGGCACGGTTATTAATGAAGTGGTTGAAAAAGTAAAAGTTGTGGTTGAGATTTGAGTATATAAAGTGAAATGGTGTAGGCCACATATTTTTTTCCAAAAAAGGAAAGGAGACACTTATTTTGGGACAACCCAAAAAGGAAAGTAGGACAGGTAAAATGGGACGGAGGGAGTATATATTATCTCTCTCATATACGTGGCTGCTACGTAAGCCATGACTTATCATAAGAAGGTTATGGATAGGGTTTAAGGAATAAAGTTTAGGTGTGAAAAATAAGAAACAAGTTTAGTACTTATATCCACTTTATATCCATCCGTCTATCTTTATATCCCTGCTCGTTCACAGACAAAATAAATATGTTTTTATCTGTGAAATTTTTCATAGAAAAAAATATGTTTGTTTTTGTTTGTTAACGAGATTCAGACAAAAGAATAATCTTCCACCCTGGATATAAGGTGATGGGTACAAATAGCATTTTTCAATAAAGAAATTGAATGGTGTCTAGGTTTGATTGATGATGGTATATTTATAAACAAGTAGTATTGATAATATGGAGTATGAAAATGCTATTAAATTATTCTTTGATAAATTTACTATAAAAAGTATAAATTATTAAATAAATGCAACATATGAAATTTTACACTATTCACATGTTCTACTTTGACTACATTTTATTTATTAATGTATTAATATTATTTTTTGAAAAAAAATATTGTTAAATTTGTCTCATTGTAAATTTTCAAAATCTATTTTTTTAATTTTTTTACTAATACAAAATTATATATATTAATGGTCAAAATTGTGTCTCGGCAAGTGTGAAATGTTGACTGTTGCATTTATTTAAGAACGGAGAAAGTACTAATTAAATAATTGGTCAAAGTTTACTTTTTTTACGGGAAAAGTGAGAGATGACTAAGTAAAATAGATGGAGGTAATATAATTTAGATAATTACTTTGAGGACCGGACCAAAACCGGTTTGGACCATAATCGAATTTAGCAATGTACATGACCGAAGGCCAGACCGGAATACTTCCAGTCCAAGACCGGACAAGATGATTTCGTTTTTCAATTGAAGGAATAAATTAGAGTCCGATTATTAACAATGAAATTGGTTGAATTAGATGAAATTAGTAAAATAGTGACTGATTCTCCTGAATTATGCGAGAAATAATTTAAAATATATTTCTTTAATAAAATAAAACAGAATTACATAAAAATAGCTAAAGTGATTGTTTTGCAAATCTAATTCATTAGTTAGAAAAACAATTCAATATGTAAAATCTTACATATTACATCATGAAGTGACATATTTATTTGGGTGATAAGATTGGTGAGTTGTCCGCAAAACACACGAGTAAATTGACTTAGTGGCCGTTTGGAGTCCAATAAATGGGCTGATAAGCCTAAATGTTGGAGAAAATCACCAAACACCCCTAGGTTGGGCTGATTGGACTGATTTTTATTAAAAGCTGGAAAAGTAGCCCAACCCCTATTTTTCATTTTTATTATTGTACCGTTACCTTCTTTAAAGACGATTTTATCCCTTTTGGAATACCTCATTCGTAATTATCTTCATTCGCATCTGTCGTCTTCTTCTTCGCAAATACCATTCTGCATCTAGCCGTCTTCTGCTTTAATTCTTTCTGCTCGGTTGGTGTTGATTAATCTAAAGGTAAGTATCATTTTGGTCTTCAACCCAGTAACTTCCTTCCTTTCTAAACATTCTAAGTGCACCAGCGAGAATTTCTACAACTTGGGGTTTCACTCATGGTTGTTTAATTACAATTTTGAGGCATGTTTACTCGATGTTTAGATTAGTTAAATTATAGAACACCCCATTAATACTTATGTTTAATTTATGTCCAATTTTTACTTATTTATTTTACACGTGAGCTTGTTAATATAATTAATAAAAACTGTAATTTTTTACATTAATTTACTCACATTAGTAAAAATATTTTACTAGCAAAGCTAACATACATATATATTTCAGATATATAGAAGCAAATACCTTTTTTTAGTAATTTTACCTTCAATAAGCCACTTCAGCTAGATTATTACCAAAACTTTCACTTCAGTAATATCAGCCACTTCAGCAGTTTCCAAACGGGCCCTTGTATTATACTCTGTGTATAGTGAAAATCTGAACTTCCCCTCCCTTGAGATATACTATGCCTTGTATTATACTCTGTGTATAGTGAAAATCTGAACTTCCCCTCCCTTGAGATATACTATGCATAGTTTTATTGCTTACACCACTGCATTATTAAAACGGACATTTTCCTCTCCATGGTAGTTTAGAGTCTTTTAACTTTAATGGCTTTAGTGATATATATAAGTTCATAACTTTATGTAAACTTTAATGGCTTTAGTGATATATATATAAGTTCATATATTTATGTAAAAAAAGGTTCATAAATTTATGTGCACTACAAAAAAATACGGAGTTAGTCACGGATTTAGTCACGGACCCTAGTATAAAAAATCCGTGACTAACTCTGCTAGTCACGGACTTTTTCCGTGACTAAATCCGTGACTATTTGGGCGTGACTAAACCTAGTCACAGTTGTTTTTCCATGACTAAGAGTAGTCACGGATTAGTCACGGACCGTATCCGTGACTAATTTGTGACCGGAATAACCACACCGGCGACTTAGTCACGGCCTCTATCCGTGACTAAATTTAGTCACGGACCAATCCGTGACTACTTTTTCAAATTTCAAATGTGACCGCCAGTTTAAATTTTCAAAATTTAAAATGTAGTCACGGACGAGATCCGTGACTACTTTTTTTTAAAAAAAAAACATTTTTAAAATTTTAAAATAATTTTTAAAAAACCGGTCTAGAATTTAGTCACGGCTTAGATCCGTGACTAAATTTTTTTATTTTTTTAAAAAAAAAATTTGTTTTTAAAAAAATTAAATTTATTTTCCAAATTTTCTTTAGAAAAGTTTATTTTTAAAAAATCATTGTAGAATAAAAGTAATAAACAGACTACTAGAACACACATTTCATCCATAAACAGACTGAAATAAAAGTAATAATAAACATAATACAAATATAGTAAATAAACAATGTTCAATTAAAAATGTATGAAATGTTTACAAGCTCCTCCGACTACCATTATGATAATATCTAGAATCATCGTATAGATAATCTTCTTCGGTCTCATCTTCTCGGTTGCTTCCACCTTGGCCTTCTCGGTTGCCACCGCGACTGCCCCCTCCGCGACTGCCACCTCCGCGACTGCCTCCTGCTTTGCTGCCTCCAGATGTTTGAAACAGGTTAAGAAAATTGATATCCTGAAAAGAACCATATGAAGGCAACCCGGAAGCATAGTTGGAACGGAAATAACCGCCCATCTGCGGAACTTGAGGAGTCTGCTCGGGGGGCAGTATATACGGCTGAGGCTGATTCCGAATTCCGGCGCTGAGGATCCGTTCCATCGCTTCCAGCCGGGCTCTTGTTTCTTCGTCCTATTTGCGTTGCTCCTCCAACTCCCGCTGCAATTGAGCGATATGTGGATCCTCTTCGCGCCTTGATCGAGAAGATGAAGCGCCGCTGCGGTCGTACAAAATCCGTTGCCCCTCGGCCCCCATGCACGGAACCCGGCCTTTGTACACCCCAGCTGCCTCAACGATGGCTTCATCTTCCAAATCAGAATCAATCTCATCCTCCTGAGTCAAGCCTAATTCCGTCCGCTTCTTCTCAACATTTGTGTTATACTTCGTCTACATGTACAAAAATTGTTAATTTAATGTTACTCAATTCGATTTTGAATGGTACTAAGTAACAAATTAGATGTTACTTACTTCGATTTCAGCGAGGCGGGGTGGCAGATCGGCATCGGACTCATCGCCGTGCTTCGTCCAGCAGTGCTTAATGACCTTGAGAATTGAGACCTTCTTCTTCTCAGGCCCCGCCTACATAGTTCGAAAAAAAGGCTTAAGATCCATAAATAAATGTAAAAATGAAGGGTTGTAATGGTATAAGGTTTTTTGAATAAGACTTACAAGATCTTCTTTATGTTTACTCTGAGGTTTGCGGCCCCCGTGCCATTGGGTTTCTAAGGCCTTCTCGGACATCCGGTTTTTCTTACCGGATTGACTTCTTGCCAAGAAGTTCGGATCAGAAGACCAGTGACGGACGAGATTAGCCCACACCTCATCCGAACACCATCCAGGCTTTACCCCGCTCGCTCGGGCACGCCTAAAAGTAGGACGAAGCCAGTTTGAAATTCTAGCGTTATACGCTTTAAGAATAGCGGGACCTTGGGCTTCAGTCCATCGAAACCGGCCCTTTATAAAAAAAATAAATTAATTTATCTTTTATCAAATGTTACGTTAATAGAATTACGCAGAGAAAATTCAATTTTTTTTTACCTTAAACAGGTTCCACCAAAGTTCACGAACCTTGGGGTCAACTTCCATATATGTTGCCCAGTTCCCAAGAAAGTGTCCTCCAATTATCAGTTTGATTTGGTCCAACACATCTTGATCACTTCAAAAAATTAATAATATTTATTTATAAAAGTTTTGATTACATTATGTAAAAATTGAAAAAAATTATTTGACGTTAGCTAAAATTCATAGTTACTTACTTTGCAACCATGTGAGGCGTCACCCAAAGCGCATTTTCATTGTTGCGCTCAGCTTCAGTTAAGGGCACATAGTTTGGGCGGGCACGCGAGGTCGATTGTTCATTGCTCATCTAAAATATATTATTTTATATTTTTAACTGTTAGTGTGATTTATAATTTTATCAATTGAAAATGTGTATATCATATTAAACTGTGTGTAAATTTAATATGAGGGTGGTAATTTTATAAATAAAATTTTTATAACTCTAAAATAAATTGTTTCTTAAAGGTAACATGTTAAACTTTTAGGCAAGTTTACATGATGGAACATAATTTATTTTGAAAATTTAAAAATGTGTTTTTTTTTTACTTTTTTTAAGGATGTTAATAAATTCATTTTCTTGCATTTGTCGTACTATTTTTTATAAACAGATTTGTATAAACTGTTTTTTAAAAAATTGTTTTATAAAACAGTTTTATATAAAAACGGTTTTATAAAACAGATTTGTAAACTGTTTTGTATAAAACAGTTTTATATAAAAACGGTTTTGTTTATAAAAAGTTTTATAAAAAACAGTTTTACATATTATAAAAACAGTTTTATAAAAACAGTATAATATTTAAAATACCAGTCTAATAAATTATAAAAACAGTTTTATAGGAAAAACACTAAGCAAAATCGTGTCCATTATGTGTCCAATCCGTGTTAATGACGTGTAAATGACGTGTTAATCAAAGTAGTCACAGAAATAGTCACGGACATGACCGTGACTAAATTTATCTATACATAATACCGTTGCAAATTAATTTGTGGGAGATGGAAAATTAAATTTTAATCATAGTCACGGCTTTAGTCACGGATGTGGCCGTGACTAAGTCGCCGGAGTAAAACAAGCCAGGCCGGAAAATCAAACGGGCCAATCGGAGGATGTTAGTCACGGACCAAATACGTGACTAAGTGTAGTCACGGCCATAGTCACGGTAAAATCCGTGACTAATTTTTTTTCAAAATTTCCGTGACTAGTTCGTGACTAGTCCGTGACTAGCCTAATCACGGACCAAATCCGTGACTACGGTCCGTGACTAAACGCGTGTTTTTTTGTAGTGGTATGACATTTAAAAGAAAATTAAATGCATATTATTATCATATGCATCAATTGTATTCATGATGATAACAATAATAATGGTGTATATAGGAGTATAATAGTGAGTTGTAAAATCTTCTTTATATGTATATTTCGTAGTATGTAACTAATGGGAGAGTACCAAATTGAGAAAATGTTTTTTTTTTTTTGAGAAAATGTTATCGCTTGTGAACTACGGAGTACTTTCTAAAAGTCTGCGCTATCATTGTCATTTTCTTACTGCTAAAGTCTCCTTTCCAATGGAGTATTACTACCGGAAGAGTTCTTTTTTTTATCATATAAGAAATCGGAAGAGTTGAAAAATAGAGATAATATGCGGAGGGGATGTTTATGATGGGGGTGTTTGGCAAATGGCGGTTGGCTGTTAGCTATTGGCGGATTCTGTTGGCTGATTGATCACAGCGGATTCTGTTGGCGGTTTTGATTAGCTGATAAGTGATAACATTAGCAGTTTGTAAAATAGTGTTTAGTAAAATAGCTGTTTACAATTAGCAGATAACTTGTTAAATGACTTGTAAGGACATCAATTAATTTTTCTTTCATAATGTCATTAGTACAATTACTTAAAACGTTTTTACTTTATATAAACTAAAAAATTTATGAAAACAACTAATAATTATTTTAACATTATTTCATGTATAAATAAATTTAGTTAGTATGCCAATATTTTTCTTCATAAATAGAGTTATACGGAGTAACATATAAGTAAATGTATACTTCCAAAACCAAGTACAATTGAGTCCTTTACATTTTGAGAGAATTCTATGCTTTTGTATGCATGTTAGGATCGACTCAACTATGTACTCCGTAATACACTAAAAGATCAGATTCAATCATTAGCTAATCTGACACAAGGATTTATAAACTTATCTCTTAACTTCTTAAGTATTTTATGTGGGACTTCTTAACAATTTTTTTTGAACATACGAAGTACTGCGTATAGTTTTACAGGCCTCCAAGAAAAGTGCTGCCAAGCAAATTACCAACGGAAAATCAATACAGACTTTTTTTATCACATGGAGAAATTAAAAACTAGCAGAGGGAATATCGGGTGTGGGCAAATCAGGAAAATCGGAGGAGAAACAGAAAGGCTAATGGCTAAACGCTGGGTTTAGTGGCATTTTGAGTTTTGGCTGTTTTGATGAAAAAGTCAGATAAAAAAGCTATGTTACCAAACACCTTATTAGCTGTTTCATCTGGTCAAAAGGCCAATTATTAGTCAAAACAGCCAAAAAAGCAGCTGATAGGCCAACAACCAAACATTCCCGATGTCTTTCACATCTTAAAGTGCTAATTATATCAGTGAGCACACCCCAAATTTCACCAACTGTCATGAGCTTAAATAGCCACAATTTAGCCACAATGTGTCAGATAAGGACCGTTTTTTTTTGGCAAATCTAAGAGTAATTATGAACTTGCAAGAGTAGATTTTAATTAGAAGGTTGCTTTACCTATTAACACAAGTACATCCTTTTTTAATTTGTATTCTTTCAAAAGGTTGAATCCCAACCTCAAGAGCCCTTACGCACCGATCCGACAAGACTTTTGGGAGGCCGTGAGTTACGATGACTCAGTCGACCCAATAAAGATAGACTTTGTACCTGTGCGCATCAGAAGTCTAGACCAACACGCAGGAGTTGTAACCTATACATGATCTCGAGTTTGGATCCCTGATCATTCATCTAACTTTCATACCACTAAATCGAGCTACCCGTGCGGTTCCTTTTTTTTTTAATTTGGATAACCGTATGCTTTGAGCGATCAATTTTCTTTACTAGACAATTGTTTTTGAGTCCTCTTTTATCCTTGCTGTCACGCATTCAACTTTGTTGGAGATGTCGCCATACGCTGCTGTAGACCTTTATGGAGGACAAATTGCATGTCTATTTGATTTTTTTTGAATTTCTAAAAAAAAAAAGATGACATCCCATCCCTGAGGCCCCCCAACACCGGACAACACGATGGAAGGATGTAAATTGGACTATAATTACAACCTGACAGATAGAGAGTGGGGCTCCGTCACCGGTACTTACAGAGACCCTATGCATTTTTCAGCATAGTAACCCCTTATCGCAGTTGTCGAGATTCGAACTCGAGACCTAACCCTTGGCACTCCCTCGCTACGAGTGGTATTCCAATTTTGGAAAGTTTCCTATTCATGGAAAGACTTTTATCAATAACGGACCTAAAGGATAGATGAGCTATCAATCTGAGACCTGAAACATAAAATGTGTCGATATACGACCCGAATGATTGAAAATTATCAATTTAGGACCTAAAAATTGTCATGACTTTTTATTATTTATTAATTTTAAAATTTTAAAATACTATTTAATTTTATTAAACTAAAAACTTTTGTGATAAAAAATTCATAAAAAATCAACAATGGAATTAACAAAAAAATGAAATAAATCAAAACTTTTGTAATTTTATGTCCTAGATTGATAATTTTCAATCATTTGGGCCTCATACATATTGACACATTTCATCTTTCAGATCACAATTTTATAATTCATCTATCTTTCAGATCCTGAATTGAGCGTTTTATGCCAATATTAAATGAGTATTAGATGAAGTTATTTGTATACAACATTCCGAAGAGAGTTATTAGCTTGCTAAGTGAAGATTTTAGATAATAAAAAGGAGAAATTACCATAAAATAGGAGTAAATAAGTTTTGAATTTCCAAAATATAACTGCTATGTTTTTCTTTCGAAATAGCAGTCGTTACTACAATGATGAAAAAAATACTATCATTAATGGCCGTAAATACTACGGAGTATCATATTAATGCCTAGTGCTGTAACTATTTCGACAATAGTGACAATTTAAAATGACATAAAATACTATCATGTTACTCCTATTTTGGAAAGAGAAACATAATAATCATAATTTGAAATTCCAAAACCTATTTATTTTTACTTCAGGGATTTCCCTTAAAAAAAACTAATACACTTAGGGTAACCTTTGTAATAATTCATTTTCATTTGATTCTATTAATTGTTAGTCTTATTGAAGTTTAGGATACAAAAAGCAACAATTGAATCTGGATTGACTCAAAACCTAACAACTTTCTCTTTAAATCAATTAATTTGTGGTTCGTGTTATTTCTCTTTCTTCTGTTACTCCAATTCTTGTCCTCGTGAGAACAATGATCTACTAAAAAACACAACACTTTGTCCCATATTTGGAAACTCAAAATAAGAGACACTTTTTTGTCCATTTCATACTCTTTTAGTAATATTCTTGTCAAAACTCCTATTATAAAATAAAAAATTTGAGAATATACAGAAGACCTTTAAGTTAACTTAGATATATTGGTCATTGTAAACAACTGTGTTATCTTCGATGCATTATACTCATTTTACTATAAAATAAACCTTTGCAATATAATTTAAAAACAATAAACTCATTAGTTTATTGAAAAATGTCAAAAATAGACCACATTTAGAGCCCGTTTGGTAACACTAAAATTGGTTGTATTGACTGATTCTGCTGAAATTTATGAAGTTCTGGCTGAAGTGACTGTATTGGCTGATTCTACTGATTCATAAAAAAATTATATTTAAGATATTTTTTATTAATAAATAAAATAAAAAATTATATGAAAACATAGTTAAAATTATACTCTACAGTAACTTCAGCCAATACAGCCAGAAAAGTAACTTCAATCTTACTTTTTCTGTTTATTACACAATTCAACGCGCGAAATAAAAAATTACGTGTTTGGTGAAAAAGCTGGTTGATAAGCCTGATAAGCCGAAAAAATGGATCACCAAACGGGCTCTTAGAAAAAACGACTGAAATGTCTTTAAACTTAACCAACAGCCTCCTCCCACATTTCATCGATGACTCCTGATTCTCTTCTCCCGGAAAGAGGTCACTGCAGAAGTTGGGGGGGGGGGGGGGGGGGGGAGTTTGGGGCATTGGTCACTGGCGTTGGGTCACTTGGAAGCCTTGGACGCCGGGTCTAGTACTACATTTGTCACTAGCTCGGGCAGAATTTGGGGGTATTGGTTACTGGCGTTGGGTCACTACGACGCCAGAGGCTGGAGCTAGTGCTACATTTGTCACTAGCGCTAGAGTCACCGAGGCAATTAGTCATTGGGCGTTGAGCCAGTAACATTAGTAAGGCTATAAAAGTCATTTTCGTTTCTTTTTTTAGAATTTTTTAAAGCTGTTTTTTTTTACCCGTGGGACCTCCTTTAGAATTATTTATGTCAAAACTCCTAATTTATTTTCAATTGAAAATAAATATTTATAATTACTCATTTGTTATAGAGAAAATCTTTTGAAAGGCATACGGCCACTATCCTAAAATCCATATATACAGAGCTATCCGTATATAAAACCAATAAATGTTCATTTTTAATTACAAATATAAAAAGTACGGAGTAGATTACAACTAGTTAAAAAGATACTGAGCATTTAATATAGGCTAAAGGGTCAAACAGGTACATGAACTAACTTAAAATGTTCAATTAGCCCCATATATAGAAGGTTCTGCCCGGCCGTCGCCGATCGGGGCGGTTCCCGGTGGAATTTTTTGATGAATTTTTCTGAGCATTTTCTTCATTAAGTCTAGTTTACCCATACCGGAAAGGCAGACAAATGATTTTTTGAAGATAACTGCACAGTTAAACAGCGCATTTCATTTCGGAAAATCATTTGACTGTCTTCCTGATTTAATTTTTAGCTGAAATTTGATATGAGTAATGGGATGACCGCTACTCAGAGAATATATATGCAAAATACAAATGATATGTATGCATATAATTACATATATTGCATACACATTTCAAATTTAAACACATGATTTATGTTACTGAAAGTATTAAACATCTTGACATTCATAAATCCTAAATTACCAACAAAATACTCCATTGTGTCATGAACAAAACATATGATGTTATTAATAATTAAAAATTTAAAACAACTTAAATCTAAACAATGAACAGCAGATGAGACTTAGAAGAAGAAAAGAAGAGGAGTGCAGCAGAGGTTGTTGTTGTTCTTGTACAGGATGAAGCAGGAGAATGTATACTCATAAGAATTTACTCTGAAGAAGAGAATGCTAATACTCATAAGGATGAAGCAGAGTATAATTTACTCTTGATAAAGCTGCAGAGGTTGTTCACTTACTCTTGAAGAAGAGAATCAGATACTTGTCATCGTATCAGGCGAGAATCTTCTCACAATTGCAGTGCATAAAAGGGTTTTACGAGGTCACTATTTAATTTTAAAAAGTATACTTTAAGCTTAATACCTCTGAATACAAAACTTACCCCAAAAAACCCTGACTGCAGTCAAGAAAAGCAAATAGTGCAGCTATTGCATCCGCTACTCCCAGTGTAGTGCCCGCTATATCGACCACCTAAGTAGTTGAATCGCTACTCAGTGGTAACTTGATCAAGGGCCAAGTCACGATTAGGACCAATTACTCGAGATTATTAGGTGATTATTAGGCCCTGTATTAGTTAAACCTAAAAACAAAAATGTCCCAAAATTCTAGTAATAAATTAGTCTTATAATTCTTGAATAAGAATAAAATATTAATAACCTAACAAAGAAGTTCCAACAAATCTCAACAATTATAAACATTCTATCTTCCAAGAAAATCAATCACCTAATAATACTTAATTAGGAACTTTTGTCCTACAACTCTAAGCTAATCTTCATTGGGTCAAGGGTTCCATTTTCTTCATCATCCTCCAGGTCCCCAAACCTAGACTGAATTTGAAATATTATTTTTCCAAATTTTAAACTACTTACTAATTATTCATAATTATTCATAAATTCCATAATATTCCAATTTAGTTAAAATTTCAGAATTAACCCCCCAAAAAATCAAATTTACTGGCTACCAAGTCAACCTTGTCACTGAGTAGTGAAATTGTCGGGTACTCGACAAGTTACTCGAAAGAATGGAACAGCAAGACTCGGAGTTAACGGAGTACTAATCGCCATGGCCCAAACCTGAGTAGCCAGTACTCAGTGATTAGATAAAATAGGAGGCCGCTGCTCCTGTTAGAGACAAACGCAACGCTATAGGTGGTCTTGTAGCGCCCTCCCCCTCCACCACTCTGTTATGCCACTATAGCGCCGCTATAGCATGCTATTAACAACACTGTTTTAAATAGCCGAAGTTGTGGCTGAAACAGCTCATTCGACCGAAACATATAAAAAAATATTTACAACATATATTACGTATAAAATTTAGGAAAAATTATATGGGAATAAACTAAAATCTCCATCTTCGACACCTTCAGACGGAGAAGTAACTAGGCTTTACTTATTTGGATTATTAAAGGGAAGTTCAGTGTTCCGCAAATAAGCCCATAAGGAGTTTTAACAACGTTTGTATTAACAATGTGTTGAAAAAGCTTAATTGCTGCTTAAAGTTGATAGACATTCTCATTCATTAAAAACAAAGATAGATATTATTGGTACAAAACATGAAAGTATAGCTTCCATACATACAATCAGATATGAATTACAGTAAATGAGTCATAGCACTTGCCTGTCAGCGGCGTCTGCCACCAAGGGCAATCTGGGAACTTCACCCATCAGGCAAGCAAACGAACCATAGAGCAAGCAGACGGAGAGGAATAAGAAAACAGTGGTATCAAAGCTCGCCATCAAATCCAACCCGAACCCGTCTCCCGGGTCAAAGCTCCGATCCAGAAGATCCGGGACGATCAGCAGCACGTCAAGCACAATAGCCTGCATCGTGTTGAACCTCACGTACCTGCTAAAGTTGCGGTTCTTTACCACCACGAAATAAAGGGTGAAGAAGACCAAAATCCCGTTCAGCGGGAAGCTCTTGAAGACCCGTATAGCTGGGATTAGAGGCTGGATCAGAGCTTGAGCCGCAGGGAACTGGGTCAAAAAATGCCTCCCGTACTGAACGCCGTCGAAGAAAGGGTAGAAATAAGTGATGGCCGAGATTAATCGGTCAGGCCCATCTGCGGCGTTGCCGCCGCCCTTGCATTGAGGAGTCCCGGCGGGTTTCCTCAGCAGCAGGAAGGGTATGCGTGGCGGTGTGCTGGGGGATCTGTGAGAGAAGAAGGGATGGGATGTTGTAGTAGCAGTAGATACAAGATTGGATAGGACGGCCATTCAATTCGGTGAAACTGATAACTGGCTAGATCGCACAGAAAGAAAGCACGATTAGAGATGATGATATCTTGAGATACTGATACAAAAGGTCCGCAAAGATTGAGCTTTTAATTTTTGGGAAAAATAATAAAAATACCCCAAACTTCGAGTAGGTATGAGGTAAACACACCAAATTTGCATATGTAGTTTAAATACCTCAAACTTCATATAAAAAGTTATTTTCGTACTATTGTCATACTCCCTCCGTCCCGTTGGAATGTTCCCGCTTTCCTTTTTTGGATGTCCCAAAAAGAAGTTCTCATTTCCCTAAATGGAAAGTTATCCTACATCAAAACAGTGCCAAACAGTGCCGAACAGTGTCCAAACAATGTCAAAACAGTAAAATTTACCCCCTGCTAAGTTTATTTCCTTAATATGTGTGTAGGTCAAACCGGGAACATTCCAACGGGACAGAGGGAGTATATTATTTTTTTCAAAAACGTAAATTTATAATATGGTTAATTGCATAATTTATAATATGGAGTAACAAATAAAAAGTGTTGCAATTATATAGCTTGGGGGTAACATTATTTATTTCACAATTGAAGATTAAAATGTTACTTGTGTCTTCGTGAATACTAAAATATTTAAATTATGCAATTAACACAAAAAATTTACATTTTTGAAAAAAATAATACTTGATTATGGTGTTAGAGTAACTTTTTATATAAAATTTGGGGTATTTAAATTACATATGCAAGTCTAGAGTGTTCATCTCACACCCATTCAAAGTTTGAGCTTTTTTTTGGACAATTCTTTCTAACATATATAGTATCTGCTCAATGTTAAAGCCAACATCCTTGAACTGGGATGAGATTCGAGCCTATGACCTCCTCCTTGAGAATGTCACAGTGATGCCATCAGACCACAAGGTACTTGGCATATTCAGTCCGATAGTAGCATTTACCGGTTGTGGCATGTTTTCAAGCGAACAATAACCGATAAGCTGAGTTTTTATTTCATAAGTACGTAGTATATTACTCTCTCCGCCCCTATATTATCTCCTCCTTTGACATTTCACACAAATTAAGATAGTGGGATTTGTGTGGTGGAGAGTTGTGCAGAGGAGAGAAAAATGTGTAAGAATGTGTAAGAATGGTTGTGAACAACAAATTCTTTGCAAAAAAGGAAAAGAGGAGATAATTTTGGGACGGGCGAAAAAGGAAAATTAGAAGATAATTTAGGGACGGAGGGAGTAATTATCATGCGCACATCATCCGGCGTTCTTTCTCCTTTCTATTCCACACAATTCATCGTACCACTTTCTCCATCTTTCTTCCTCTCTATTTTCTATCTTCTATGGTTTTCTTGTCTGGGTTCGACCATATATATTCTGACTATACCCTTGATGCAGGTAAAAAAATGAATTCAAAAGCTTATTGACCCTCTTCGACGAAATCCAACGAAGTGGTGAACTCAAGCACCAATTGTCATCACATAATCAATTCGGTTCACAAGGTGGTTAAAATGGGTAAATGTAGCACATAAGCTTTGGAGCTGCTCTTTATGGTCTGTAATTATGTATCTTCATTGATGTTATATATATTACATACAAAGTAAAATTAGGGTTTATATTGAGTGTGAGTTCGGTGTAATTTGATTGACTTGGATTTCACTATACTTTGAGTACAAGAATGCAATCCTGGATCGGAGAAATTGAAAGTTTGTTTATGTGCTTCAGGTTGAACATTGTGATTCTTCAAGTGTGAAGATAGTGTTGATGGTGTAGACACACATTCATCACCTCAGATTCAAGATGCCAATATACACAAAAAAGGGACTCACAATTGACCTAGAAGCTGAGAAGACGATGTTGGAAGAAAAGATTAAGAAGTTCCGTCTCACAAATCAAAATTGAAAGAGGGATTACAGCACATGAAAAGACGATGTTGGAAGAAAAGATTAAGAAGTTCCGTCTCACAAATCAAAATTGAAAGAGGGATTACAGCACATGAAAAGACGATGTTGGAAGAAAAGATTAAGAAGTTCCGTCTCACAAATCAAAATTGAAAGAGGGATTACAGCACATGAAAAATGAAGTTTATGAACTACGTATGAAAATTTAAGTGTTCAAGGAATGAGAAGAAATATTCACTTTGTCTAGGTTTTTTATTGTTTAATTTTGTTCTTGATATAAGTATTATTTCAATAGCAGGTTGGTTAGCCAAGACATTTGGCATTGTATTTCCGGAATTTATACCATAGTTTAATAAAAATGTTTAATCCTGCCTTTTGTTGCTTAGCCAAATAGCCAATGTTGGTAGTTGAGGTGTCATAACTACAATGATACACCCATAGCTAAGCTGGAAAAACATATCACCTAATGTGTAGCAATACTTTGAACTCCAAGGATCTGGATGAATTATAATATAAGTTGAATGAAAACTCCCTAACTACAAGGATCTAATTATAATATAAGTTGAATGAAAACTCCCTGACTTGACATTATTGTACAGTTTGTACTGAAAACAAAATTAGAACTCCTCAACTTGTAAGCCTACCAATGCTAAACTTTGAAATCATTTAGGAGGTTCTAACTTATAAGCAGATGTTTAGACGCCTGATGTGAGTTTTCTCGCACTTAAAACGATTGTAGAATAGTGGTGTAAGTACGAGTATCGTTTCCACAGGGACGGACAAAAAGGAATTAAAGATTAACTAAACGCAGCGATTAAAAAGAAATAAATAAAATAAAATGTGTTTGTGCGAGATTGATTGGTTCGGAAAATTAACTAATGCGAATGAGCGATTAAATAAAAAGATTGGTTTCTCTCAAATTAATGACGAAGGGAACAAGGATTGATTCCGGGGGTAACCAGATTTCTGGCAGATCAGGCCTAATTACATGAAATTAATTTAATTGAGCCTAACTAATCATTAATAAGTTCTTACGGCTCTCGCGGCGTAGAGTACAATAATTTAGGGGACCAGACTGATCTCTCGTGCGACATGTTCCTAAATCATTGCCAAGACGAGCGAGCTTACGGCCCCTTAATCGCTACTAATCTCTTCGCGAACGATTAAGTGTGTGTGAATGTGTCCTAGAATAAACTAGATCTCTCTTAATTTATTCTACAAGCAATTGTAATTCTAGTGGTCGTCCTAGGTTACAAGAGATATCAGTTAAATTATTCAAAAACAAACTAAACGGCATTCATGCAATTAAACCATCAAGGATCTAGCCATACATCATGATTAACCCCTTTATCAACCCCAAATCTCTAATTAAACTACTCACAATTCATAATTGAAGAATCAACAGAATTGGGAAGAATAGAATAATAAATTGTAAACAATCATAAAAACGCAAGTAACCTCCTCAAAAGGGTTAGGGAGACCTTATTTATAGAAAAAGTGGGAAAAATGAATTCTGGCCGAGTTGGGATTAATTTCCGCGTAAAACGGGGCTACTGGGGGGCACGCACGGAGCCCACGCACGGTGTGTGTCCCCCAGTGCATCTGAAAGACGAATCGCGTAAAAAAACGGCCACACACGGCGTGCGTCCCCCCACGCACAGCCGTGCGTGGCTGGCAGTAGCTACCTTGCTGTCTCGCTTCGGACGCACGGTCGTGCGTTCCCCTACGCAGGGCGTGCGTAAAAATTCCGAATTTGACAAAACTTTCTTCATGAAAGGTTTAGATGATGAAGTCCTTTATGCACCACAACTTGCCGAATGGGATTGGAATCATCCAATCAAAATATATGATCAAAATGGTGGAAGGTCTCATTTTGAAATCTCAATAGCGATCATCCAACTTCATCGTCTGTTTTCACCTTCTTCCTCTCATATTCTTGCAACGGTGTCATTATATAATTTGTATCCCTTAAAGTTGGCTTTCATATGAAACTTGCATCGTGTCCATTGGATGATTCTACAAAGAGATATGCTTGAATGATTGACAGAAGGTCGTCCTGATCGTCGTTTTCAAGCTCTATTCGTCTTCTTTTGATCCTGTAGCCAATCCTAGAGCTCTTTTGTCATCAAATC